TTATGGTACAACTAATTTATACTAAGAATTAAAAACTCAAGAGGTTTATCAGTTGTCAAGGAAAATGTCATACCTGGTCTTCTTCATAACTATGTAAGAGATTATCGATCAACTAGTTAAACTTTCAGATTAGTAAAATGAGAAATAAGGAACCAAGAAAGATTAAATAACTTGTGTAGAAATTTGAGAAAGTTCATTTTGTCTAATGGTTAACATTTAGTAGTTTGAGATGCAAACAAGCACTCAAGCATATTGCAGCAAAACTGGATTAAAAGAATCCTTTTGTAATTAGGGTACTGTGACAAGGCCTTGACCACTGAATCTTTGAAGTAAAGACAATTGCTTCTTATTTCTCTCTAAAAGTCTAAATTAAAAGAATCTTCCAAAGTGAAGGTTATTCTCCTTGAGGTAATTCAGAAAACAGAGGCAATAATTCTGGCTCTAAGGAGGAAAAAGAATCTTTTATTACATTTGGATGAGATTTTATTTTTTAGGAATCCCTGCTTGGCTGTGAGTAGTTGTTGTTGCTGAATGCTATTCACACTGCCTCTCTCATAGCAGGCTCATGTGTAACAGGCTGAATTTGTGGGATGGCCTGGAAGTCCTCATTCTAATCAAGGGCCATAGGTCAATATAAACAGCAAGTTTTTCTTCCCTAGGGAACTGTCAGGGATGTATTCTTTCCCATCCTGTTTTTCTACAATCTCTTTCATACAAAATAGAGTGCATGGCATTAATAACATATCTGATATAATTCTCCACCTGGCAGTTTATATTAAAAGAGAGAATAGGACCTATAGGATTCCAATTGCCTAGTTCTATTATCTCAATGAATTTTTTTTTAATTTAAAATTTTAAAGGGCTGAGAAGAAGAAATTTTTCTAAGACTATTTTGATGATCAACAATAGGGGTTGACAACCTTTCTTCTGTAGAGACAGAGATGCTAGTTATTTTAGTTATATGGCTAAATGGTCTCTCAGCCACTTAACTGCTATTGGATCAAGAAACCAGACAGAGAACAACACCAAAATGAATGGAAAAGACTGAGTATTTCAATAAAACTTTTTAAATATACAAACAGGAAGTAGGCTGGATTTGGCCCATGAGCTATCCTTTCTATTTTTGATCTAAAATTTTTAGTGATGTAAGAGAATTTGAAACCAAAATTCAAATTTACTAACATATAGCATGTCCCAGTGCAAATCTGTCCTTTCAGGTACCTATGTGATTTTTAGACAGATTTGTGGTTTAATCTTTCAAGGATTTCCTGTTCGCTTTTTTCTTCTGAATTATATAAATATAATAAAGATGACTGAATCTGTTAAAAATAGAAAATTTCTATAAAATCTATGGAAAATTTTGATTGCCAAGCTGCAAAACATTAGCTTTTCAATTCTTACTAAATTTGTAATAGTTTTTTTGTCCTTACCTAGATTTTATGTGGAATTAAAAAAAAAAAACTATCAAGTTGAATTCTTATAACCATTGATCCCACTGGAAATGATCCATTAATTTGAATAACTGTTCTGGTTGATAATTTAAAATCTTCTCCTTATTTGGATATTTTTATTACATATTAATCTTTGGTTATGATTATAACTTGGGTTAACAGTACAAGTATTATGTAACTTTGTAATTTAGAATGCAATGAGTATAAATTATGATTCACTGAATTAGTTCTTGTAAGTAACTACTTTGCCTTTTCTAAAATGTTCTGACCAGATGGATAAGACTACATAAAGTTTAATGACATCTCTATTGTTTTGATACACAAAACTAAGGAACTGTCCTTTAAAAATAAAAGTATTTTCTCAGTATAACTCTAATTTTAATCTAGTCTTAATTTTAATTCTGAGTACAGTTTCTATGCTCAACAGGATTAGGTAGCTAATTAAAACTTACTAAAGCAATGAACACTGTGGGGTACTTCGTAAATTATGTGAAAAACTAAGCATTTTATTTTTCATTCCTTGTTTTTGAGTTTTTTTAAAAGTAAAAGACTGAAGTAAAAGATGTAGGAAAAAAAGTTTTCATTTCAAACTTTCAGTGAATTTGGTAAGGGAATGATGATGTCACAGGAAGACTTTTTAAAATAAGGTATACAGAAACAGGACCTAACTAAACATTTGACTTCTTCCTTAAAAGTTTTGAAATTTTTAAGAGAATAAACTGAAATTTAAGTCCAGCTGGAACTGCGGTATATAGGGCTTTTGAGGTGTCTAATGTTGAAAATATTAAGTTGACTTTAGTTGTTTTGTTTTTTTTTTAATTGGAAACAGGAAAGGAAAATTTTTGTTCTGGAAATGTGTTCTTTGATGCAAACAGAAATCCATCTTCCAAAAGAAGTAGAGATGGGTTGTCTTGATTTAGTTTTTTTGGAAACAGACAAGAATGTGAATTTGCTAAAATAATTTCTTTCTTCTACTTATTTTATAAGCTCTGAGATGTACTTTTCTTTGTGAAAATTATCCTAGGCTCAAGATTATCATAAAATTAACTGGAAGCACTGAAATAAATTTTTGGAAAGAAGAGGATATAGAGAAACTTATTTTTTTAAAGTTATGTAAAAAGATTTCAGTAATTGTTGCTTTTTGATATTTTTATCTACTCTTCAAAAATTGTTTTCCCGTTGAAGATAGAAATATTCAAGTATCAAAAGTGTTTCATAATATGCAGTATTAAAAAAAATTCCATAATGCTTAAAGTGGAAGAAACAGATCTTCTGTGAATTCAACAATCTTCTGTGAATTAATAACAGGAGTGAAATAAAATTTTAGAATTCATACTGTAAACTTGAGAGGACATAGATGCCAAACGCTACCCAAAATAGCATATTTTTAATTAGCAAAAATAATGCTATGAGTGGCTTCTGGGTATTATTTAATAATGTGGTGAGGATGAAATCATACCACATGTTTATATAGTACATAACACATATAGTCCTTACTATATCTCTTCTATTTATGTTAACTCTGTAAGTTTGGTATTAACTTTCTTTCACATATAAGGAAACAAGTACACAGAAGTGAAAAATTAGTTCAAATGAAACCTAATGTTGTTATGATTTTGTTGTAATTGCTGTTACTTAATGAAGATCTTTACAGGTGATAACTGGCTTGTATGACTGACACAAATGAGTATTACTCCTTTAATATGATTTGCAAGAACATGCAGATTAAATGGCAGAGCTCAACTCTTCACCAGTTAATTTACTTTATACGATCTAGATAACAAAAAAATCATTGCTTACTCTTATATGAAGTATTTCTTATGCCATTCACATAACTCCTTTTGATGGGGAAGTAATATGATGCTAAAATTTCATCCATGTTGATCAAAGAAATATTAGCCTAAATTAATCTTAAGAATGACTTTGCTTTGTTACATAATTTCTCTTGTCCAGATTTAGAACTTAAATAAGGACTGGCTGTACACTGTTAAGAAAAAATATTAAGTATATGTAAACAACCTAAATGCCCATTAGCAGATGAGTAAAGAATACATTACGTACATACAACAAAATATTCAGGGTTAAAGAGTGGTAAATTCTACACGTGACAATGTAGAGGAACCTTCAGGGCGCCATGCTAAAGGAAATAAGCCAGCACAGAATGAGGTGTACTGCACGATTCCACTTGTATGACACAACTAAGACTTAAGACTGTCAAATCCACATAATCAAAGAGTGAAATGGTGGGTACCAGGAGCCAGAGGTGGTGGAAACAGGCAATCAATAGTCCAAAGCACAAAGTTTCATCTTCAAAGCAAGATGAATAAACTCTAAAGATTTGGTCTACAGCAATAAAACAAAACAAAACAAAAACCATAAACCAAAAAAACCCCAATCTACTGTATTAGGAATTTGGGAACATGGTTTGAAAAACACTCTTAGGTAAGGTGGGCAAAGACATAACCCCATTCAAAATGCTTCTGTGGATAGTTCATTGGTCTTAAGGGGCTTTGTAGCATATTTTTTACTCTGGTGACAAATTCTCCTTTGTTGGATCTAATGGTAGAGACAGAAGGCTAGGGGCTTTTGTGTGTCATATGTATGGGACTCCAAGTTGAAAACAGGAGTAAAGTGGCATCACAAGCTTGCTTACTTCTCACGTGCTACTTACCTGCCACCTGCAGAACAGTATCTTACAATCTCTACTCCTCATTTTGACTATGTTTACATAGTATTCATCAAATTTCTTCCTACACACTATGTTTTGTGTTTGTTATGTTACATTATATAACACATGACATATTTATGTATTTACACACATATAAGGTACTTAAATATATTGTTTATACTAAGCATATAAATAAAACACTATTAAAGTGTTATACGTGTTTTATTATACAATATATGTTGTTTATCATAGATTAAACTCATTTCAAAGTGCTTGTACTCTTACATACTATTTAAGAAGACTAAAGATATGTTTATAAAACAACAAATCAAGTTTAATATATTATTTTTAGCTACTGCTCAGGCTCACATATTAATATGACAAAACTTCAATATATCCTAAATTTTGTTATGTATATTCTGAGTTATGATTTTGAAATAGAATTGTGGTAAGAGCCTTATTTTGCTAACTATAATGAAACTCATAAGAACCAGAGCGGGATTAACATAGGAACCTTAAAGGGTAAATTTCTACTAATATTATAAGGAATTAACAAATGTATAGCAAAAATGCCTCTGAAAATCTACAACTGTCTACTATTTTCATGAATGTAATGTTAAGTTGGAAATTCCTGGGAGTGTACTAAGAAATGATTCACTGTTGCTTTTTTAGGGACAGAAGAAATTTACATTTACTAATGTGAAAATCAGAATATATATATATATATATATAAAACTATATATAAGAGAAATAATCTCAGATGAAGATTCTTACATTACCTGATAAAAGGCATTTTAAACATTTTTAAAGTTCATATTATTGTATGGAAGGTACTGCCTGAGTTTCTGGAAGCACAGATTAAAACTCCAGAAGATACTTACCCTTTTCTGTTCTTTTATATACTCAATCAGCTCATCTCTTGTTCTTCTCACTGCCTCTTCCACAGCCTTCTCACTTTGCTTCTGCTCTTCTATTATTGCTGCCTTAACAGTTTCCTGTTTGTGGGAAGAGGAAGGCAGAGAGGTATGCAGCAGGGCATATTTACGTTCACTTTCCACAAAGTAAGAACCCCCCTCAATGGGCAGGAGCTCATTCTGCTCAAAGCCAATCTACAGAACTCTCTTTCCCAAACTGGGTGAAAGGGAAAAGAAATGGAATAAGCCATTTATTGCAGGGAGAGGTGACAGACTCCAATAGCTTCCTCATCAAGCTGTCATCTGATGTTCATGATTGATTCCTTCCTGTACTTTGTACTACACACAGTATTTCCAGCTTGTGTTTATTCTTCCAAGAATACCTTAATGCTGTAGCTGTTTATTCACATTTCATTTTGCCATCAAACAATAACCAAGTGTGGTCTGGTTGGTAAGATTTACTTCTACTTGGTCCTCCTGCCTGGTAAAGATGTTGAGACTTGAGAACCATGAATAAAAGGTAAAATTCCATCCAATGTGCTAGTGTTTTAAGTGAGAGACCTAGGAAGCGACCCCCCCATTTTCTGAATTGTAAATCAGGTACCTAAGTGATTCAGAATGGTTGATAAAAAGACCTAAATTTCTGGAAAAGAAATGCAGCACTTCTCAGAGTAGTAATATTTTCTGCTAAAACAGTGTGGCATGGATTGAAATGAGTATTAAAACCAAAACTCTTTCACTTCCATTATTTATTCTGGTACCATCCTTTCTCTAGTGGACAGCAAGACAATCCATTAGAAAATGTCTTTAAGGGCTGCAGTTTGGCTCAGGTGCAGGGTCCTGAGCTCGATCCCCGGTACCAAAAAAAAAACAAACCCAAAAATGTCTTTAAGTTTCTCAGAATATTTTTCATTTTTGATTTAAGACAGTCTCACTGTATAGTTCAGGCTGGCCTGGTACTTGCAGTGACCCCCGAGCTCGGCCTCTGGAGAGCTGGGATTCCAGGTGTGCCCCACCATGCCCACATCATTTTTGATTCCTGAGAACTTCTTTCTTTGTGGTATATTTGCGGTTACTCAATTTTGGACATGTATATATGTGCCAGAAAATATAACATTAATGTCTGTCTATTCTGAATATATTTACTGTAGAAATTTTGAAAATATAGAAAGATTTGAGCACAAACCACATACACATACATAGATACTTGGATATGAAGATGATATGACCTAAACTGTACATGTTATTTTTTAAATCTAGCATTTTTCACTTGATACATTTTGAATATTTTAAAGGTGTTTTATATTATTGCTATTTCTATTCAATTATAAAGTTGTATAATAATTTATTAATCTTTATTAATGAGCATCTTGGTTGTTTTAAATGAAGTAATGCAGTAATGAACATCCATATATGTACCTTTGTGACACATGCTGAATATTTAATTGGGATCAACTCAAAAAGTGAAATCATTTTGATCAAAAGAATATGAACTCTCATATAGCATTCGACATTCTATACAAATTATCTTCTCATGAGGAGCCTCTACTAATGGCTAATTTACTAGCATTCTTGATTACATTTAGTTTTATCAGCTTTAAAAACTTTGATTATTTGGGGTAGACCAGCATGTTATTCTGCATTTTTAAAAGATTATTATGTGATGTTGAACATTTTCCTCGTATACTGGCAATTTATGCTTCTTCTTGTCATTTACTTGCATTCACTCTACCCATATAGTTTTGGGATTCTCATCTTTTTTGAGTTCCCTTCCTAATATATAAAATTCAATGACAATGCTGAAAGGGTATGTTACTTGCAAAATTTACTTTTATTTTCAACCAATGAGTACACATCAGGCTTTAGTTCCCCTGATAAAATAAATCTACAAAGTTGGGTGGCAAGGCAGTACATGCCTGTAATCCCAGCACTCAGGAGGCTGAAGCAAGAGGACTACCACAAGTCTGAGCCCAGCCTGAGCTACATAGCAATTTCAAGGCCAGCCTGAACTACATAGCAAGACTTTGTCTCAGAAAACAAAACAAAATCAAAATAAACAGGGCTGGGGATTTAGCTTAGTGGCACCACACCTGCCCAGCAAGCACAAGGTCCTAAATTCAATCCCTGGTACAAAACAAACAAACAAACAAATAAACAAGAGTGATCATTATATTAAATTATATTCAACCATAGAGAAAGAAGTAGAATAAAATTTTCCTTCAGGGCAGGTATTAAATTCTGTGAAAATGAACACGGTTATTCTCTGCACTCAAAGACTGCACAATTTATTTGGGAAAACAGATACACAGACTGAAGCTTAACAAAATACAGTAAATGTCATAATGGGAGTATAGAGTACTGTGGAAGAAAGACAGAATGGGAAGATGTCAAGATTCTGGGAGAACTGTCGAATCAGAAATCACTCAAGTATATTCTTTCGAAGAGTCAACTCTTTGCTTCATTGATTTTTTGCATTGTTCTCTTAGTCTCCATTGCATTGATTTCTGCTCTGATTTTTATAATTTCCTCCCTTGTATGAGCTTTGGGTTTGTCCTGCTCTTCTT